TTTTTTTTTTTTTTTTACTTTTTGGAAAAAAATGGCAGGGGCAAAAATGTCCAAAGAGAACGGTACATAGTAATAAGGGGCGGTAAATAGTAATGCCCAATAATAAAGGTAAAAGGCAAACGTGCCAATATTTTTACATTTAATGTTTCTTTTGAAAAGAAGCATGCGACTTCAATTTCACGCGACGCGAGAACAGTTCATATTTGTTCACACAAATTATTCATTGCAAAAGAGTTGTATTCCACTGCCAAATTTAGACAAAGTTGTTTATAGCTAACCTTTACTTTTTTTCATATTTAATTAATAATCATAAGATTTCCTGGTACTCACAAATTTTTTTTCAAGGAAATCTACCACCATAGAACACAAAATTCAAATAATTAGTAGTCTCGACTATATATAATTATTCAAATTAATCCAAAATTGACATTTTTGGGATTCTTTCGTTTTTCTGACGCATACATCTTTGAATTCTTATTTTTTGAGGCTTTTCAGCGTTGACATGTTAGTTCTTTGTGTATTGTAATATTAGTAAGCATCTCGTGCGATGCATGTGTAATTTTATACTTTAAAACATTTCATAAAATTTTATTTTAACAATATATTAGCTCGTTCATCCGTTTATACCAAATATCAAATTTAAAACATAACACTATTATCTAACTTATAATTTTAATATTATACACATAAATTTTTTTATTATAATATTCTATGTTTAAAATTTAATAACATTATATAATTTTTAATTCAATATTATATGTATATAAATAACTTATAATAGTTTATTTATATATGTGCAAATGCACAGATATAAAATTGTAGATTTTTTTTAAAAATAATATTGCTCATTTGAAGTGTTTTAACCAGGGGCGGAGCCACCCCAAAGGCTGAGGTGGGCTCCACCCGGGTCTTAATTTTTTGGTCCATGCAAATATATGCTAGTAAAAAAATATTTTAGCTCATGTTATATTAGGCTAGTCATAAATTAATCTCATTTTTGCCCAAAATAAATTATATTTATTTAAATTAAATGAATGAATTATATATTTGAAAATAGTTTAAGTTTCTTTACGGTTTTCCTTTTAGCTCGCTATTTCATTTTCCGTCTTCTTTTTGTGTTTACATTATATTTTTTTAGTTAAATAAAATTTATTTGACTAATTTTATTCGAGACAATAATGGCTTGTGTTAGACTTTCATTAGAATATTTAGTATGCATTTTAATTTATTAATTTTACAATTTTGTTGTATATTCTTTTGATTTTTCAAATAAATAGTATTTCAGCATATAAAAAATTTAATACCAAGCCTCATTTATTTATATAACATATTCAATGAAATGATATATTAACCTTAAATGACATGTCATGCAACAAGAATAAAGTGATTAGTATACCATCTCATAGCGGTACTTTTAATAAATATATTATTTCTTCTAATTAAAATTAAAGTATATGAGAAAAAATATTTTTGCATTTAAAAAATAATAATTAATTTATTAAAAGTTATGATTTGTCGTATGTTTAAAAGAAAAGTTAATAATTCACAATTTTTTTAAGAGGTCCATATAATTGATTTTTATTCTAAAAATACAACATTCATATTTTAATATTATTTAATGTGTGATTCATAAAATTTACATTAATCCTGCAAAATTGTTTTCATACTTTTATTTTTTTATATATGTGTCTAGCTAGATTATTCGAGTTAAGTACTTCATTTTTAAACTCATGTACATTTAATAAACGAGTTATCATGACGCAACTCATTTAATAAACAAACAGAAATGTGAGCCTGAGTTTGAATCGTTTAAACCCGGTTTGACTTGTTTAATAAACTCTTAAATTTGATTCCTTTTGTAAGCTAAAAGTGAACAACTTCTAGAACAAAATTTAAAATTCTAATCGAATGGATCACGAACACGTTCAACTCGACTTGCTTGATAGAAAAAACTCAATTAGTTTTTTGACTTTAGCTAATTTAAATATACAAGTGAGTCGAGTTCGACTTTTCACAAGCCGAATCCAACTATATTATCGGTAGTATTGTTAAATTAAACGAGCTTAGCTCGACTCCTTAAGACTCGAGTTCAACTCGACTCTTTTGATGAACGAGCGGAGCTCAAGCTCATTTAAATCTCATTTGGTTAACACGAGCTCGACTCGATAAGACTCATTAAGGTTTGAAAAGAATTTTTTATATAATTTTCTATAGAGACGATCGTTAAAGCTCGAAATCGGCTCGTTATTAGTGATAAACGAGTCGAGTTTGAGCTCGATTTTAGGCTCATTTATTTAACGAGCAGAGCTCGGCTCAGCTCGTTAAGGGCTCAAGCTCGAGCTTGGCTCGACTCGTTTATAGGCCTAGTTATCGGATATTCAGTTTACACGTTTTGCAGCCAGGGTGAAAAAAAATTCTGACTGCTCTCCTGGTTTTAAACATATTTATCAGAAATAATTTTAGTGTTTTATTTATCATATTAATAAGTGGAGAAATTTATATGATACTCAAACACTCTTCTCTAATTTTTATGGCGACTGTAATTTTATTTCAAATTAATATGCGATCCTCAATGATTTTGAAAAATGTTGGGGTTGTTTTAGTAGCTATCAGAGCTCACTTCAAAAGAGAACACCCGTGCTTAATTTGCTACTGAATCATCTGGACAGGGATAAGCATTTGATAATGACGCCATAGATAGATTAAATACTAAGATGGTCTAATTACTAGTGGCTGTCCCTTTTTTTTTTTNATTCTTTTTTTTTTAAAATGGTAAATATACTCGTGGTTCTGATTGAAGCATATATATCAGCTTGATCTTGATTGAATCATTGTTTATTTTTCTTTTTCTCAATTTTCAATTTGATTTGACCAAGTAATCATGTTTAAACAATCCTAGTTGATCAATAAGTC